TAGGAGATCCCTCTGTTCCAAATGTAGGTCATGTTAGTTTTGTCCTAAGTCAAACTTCTCTAATTTTGACCAACTTTATAGAAAAATGCACCAATATCTACATCATCAAAATTAGTTTCACTAGATCCACCATGAAAATGTCTTGATAGTACATTTACTCGGTACTATAGATGTTAATATATTTTTCTAGAAACTTGGTCAAACTTGGTACTATAGAAGTTTGGCTTAGACAAAACTAAAACAACATACATTTTTGCAATGGAGGGGGTATGTCTTAACACAAAGAAGAACATGATGCAAAAAAGTACCAATGAAGTGGCCAAACGAAACAAATTACAAGTTCCCCATTGATTATGCAATGTAAAGCAATGTTTGTATTGAACCAAATTTGTTTCGAAAGTAAATAACAAAAGGCATAAAAAAAGGGCAAACCCAGTGCCGGAGGCTCCCACATGAGTGGGGTCTGGGAAAGGGAAAAACAATGATTCAATAAAGAAGCCTACTCTTATTTGGGCTTAAATATTGTTCAACTCGATGCAAAACCAAACAAGCCATAACCATTTGTAAACCTGATACAACTGAATGCATGCTGACTTGCTGAGTAACAGAGCATATTAAAAATAAAGGGGCGTACCCAGTGCAGAGAGCTCCCGCTCTGTGCGGGGTCTGGGGAAGGGTGACAGAGCATATAATATATGAAAAGAATAACACATCCAATAGAAAAGATTATAAGAATGAGTGTGTAGCCATGCAAGTCCAGTAGGAAAAAGCTGGTAAATTGAATAGCAGCTACACAAGTGGCAAATAAAGAATCAAATTATAACTTTACAGTCCCCCCACTGATAATGCAATGGGAGGCATGTTTGTAAAAGAATCAAATTTACTTTCAAAGTAGATACAAAATTGTAGAAGATTGACTAAACAAGGAAGATATTGCATTTTTTCCAGTCAAAATAACTTAGCACACTGTGTTAGTCTTTCCAGTGGAAGCGTCAAATTCAGTCTAACTCACAAGTCACAATTCTATGAAGAGACAAACATATAAGAAAATAGAAAAAAAAAGTTAGCTGCTGAGCTAACAGTGATCTGCCATATAAATGAAAAGTACATACCTCCTGCAGGGGTAGAGAATTCACCGAGATCAAATCTTTGAAGAGAAGGTGTCCAGCGTGGAGCCTGAAGGCTGTCAGCTGGACTCCCAAAGTAAGAAAGTGCTCCATCAGACACAGAATGATGGTGATTGAGGTACTGATCACTGCCTAATGCACTTCTGCTTCCTTTGCTATGGGATGATAGTGATGAAACATAAGGTGGGTGATCATGAGGAGCATCATGAACTCTGTGGGGCAATCCATCTGATGAATAGCGGCAGTCCCATCTCCTTGACGTTGGAGGAGAGAAGCTCGAGTTTATGCGCCAACGAGGCTCAGTGGGATCCATAGAACGATCTCTGCTTGCAGGGTCAGACTTTGTCCCATGTGGCCTAGCGGCCACGCAGCAAAGAGCACCCGTCTTGACTAATTTTGGCAATCACGTGTGGAGACTATTTGCTTATTATGTTTGAAAAGCTTGATCGGAGCAAAGGGAGATTATACACCGATTGAAGAAAAGGAATAGGGTCACCTATGCACATAGAAGCATGTCAGTGTTGTCAATCAAGAAGACAAACAGGAAAAAATATCATCTGAAGAAAAGTCTCCTTTTCAGGGGTAATGAACATGCTACAATCAACACAGATGCATAACTAGTTGAACAACTCCATTCACAGGTAGGCCACACCAAACCCCATCCAGAACACATTATAAAACATATTATTATGCATCAGGTGAACCACTACTGCACCATAGAGCTTCTATATACATCATTCCGTAAAGCTTCTTCTTTTTTGGTAATATTTCATTGCCACAAGGTTTAGTAATAACTCCCACAAGGCCACAACAAACTCGCATGAGTTAATCTCATCAAGTAACACCAACCTAGTTCTAGAGGCGAATAACGGGAAAGAAATCTACTTCATAATTTTTTTTCCTTCTTATTATTCTATTTGCACCTAAATATTTCCATTCCTCTGCGGTCAGTCGGTCACTGATGCCCCTATCCAACAAGAAATCCCCCGTGCAGACTAAGAGCTCGTACTTCAGCTCCAAGTCCAATAAACCACCAAACCAATCCAACTCACTCGCCCAGTAGAGGGCATGGGTGTGCACATGTACACCCGATAATTTTTGCAAGAAAGCCAGTAGGTATCGTGTACGTATATACCTGTGGTCAGATCCGAACACGAATAGCTTACTCTAGGGTTTGGGGTGTTCGGTTGCGCACAGCAGGATGGGAGGAGAAGGGCCGGGCATACCTGGTAGGTGCTCGTCGCCGGCGAAGACCTGGCGAAGGGCGGCGGCACTCGCCCAGTCGTCGCCACGAGGAAAGGAAGGGGAGAGAAAGAGAGGAAAGAAAGGGGAAGGGGAGAAAGGGAAAAAGACGAGCAGAGTGAACGCAACGGAAAGACTATTCTATTTCCACGGCCGAACGCCCGCGAGGCATCCATCAGCCAGCCACCAACGACTTGCGGACGGGAACACGGAGAAAGCTCGCGCAGGCCGTCAGAGACGAAGCCCAACACACAGCCCACTCCGCTGCCGCTCGCAGCCTGTGCCGGCCCGGGAGTGATGAGCGGTGGGTGAGCGCGGCTCCGCGACTCCCCTCCTCCCCAGACGGCCAGACCCCAGTCCCGATGCCACGCAGCTGCTTGCCGACGGCCGCCGCCCTTCGCGCCGCTTCCTCGCGTGTGGACGCGCAGCTGCTTGCGTGTCCAAGCCCGAGCTGGAGCTGGCGAGTCTGGAGAAGCCGCGGACACCTCGCCCTCGCCGTTTTAGCGTCGAGCCGCCGACTCTTTCTCCCTTTTCCCCTTTTGCTCGCCCCCGGCCACCTTCGGTTTGCCGGCTAAATTCGCCACAACCATCCCACCTCCGTCCAGTTACTCTCGCAGCCAGGTGCGCCTCGTCCGTGCGCGTCGTTTGATCCCAGACGCGCCGCCTCTCGTTGCCGGAGTCGTCCCCAGCGCCGGTTCTTCTCCGCTGCCGTCCGTCTCGCCGCCGTGAGCTCCTTCGCCGTGGACAGCACTCTGTGGCGCGTCTCTCTCCCTTCTTTCTCTTGTTCTAGCTTTGCTTGATGTCCTGATGCTTATCGGCTCGGCCGTTTCGCGTTTGGTGCACAGGACACGCCAGAACATCGCCTCGACCGCCAGTTCGCGCCGCCGCATCCGCCGTCGTCGTCTGCAGCCGTCGCCGCCTCGCCTCCGCTTTGTCCGTCGGGAAGAACAGGTCGTGCTGAGCTGCTTGAACGTGTGCTGAACCCTATCTAGGCCGATTAGGCCCGGTAGCGTCGTGTCCGCCGCCGCGCCATCGCGTCGGGCGCCGCCTTGCCGCCATGGCTGGTGTTGAGCTCACTCCGAAACCCTAACCGCCCAACCAACCCCTTGGGCGTGTCACCGGCGAGAACCCGCCGGTCAAACGCGTTGCACCCGCGGCTGCGCGGCGGCGCACCGTGCGCTGACCCGGGCCCCGTCTGTCAGCCTCAGTGGATGGCTGGGCGTGGGTACACAACGTTTTTCCAGCGGTTTAAGTTTTTCAGAAAATGTTTATTCTGTGCAGTGTAAAATGCATAGAAAAATGTAGAAACATTCTAAAAATGTGAAACTTGTTTTGTTAGTTTTGTTATGATGTACTCTGCATGTTAAAAATAATTGTTGGCATGAAACAGTGCGATGAAAACTGCATAAATGTTATTAATGGATATGTGTTGTTTATTTTCTGTAGCATAAAAATGCATAAATGTTTATTAATGGACACCTGTTGTTTTGAAAAATCTTACTTTCTTAATTGATTTAACTGTGTCTATGCCTTTTATTTAATAAATTCTTAAATGGCTTAAATAAATATGTAAATTGCTTTTATGTGTTAGTGTTTGTGGGACCCTGAAACATGAAAAAAAAACTACTGTTCTTTGGGAAGTTAAATTCTTTCTTAATAAATAAATAATTAACTTGTTGGTTAATAATTAAATACTTTTTGATAAGTTTAAACCTAGTTGTACCGTGAAGGAACCCAAGTTTGTTAACTTTGTTTGCATTCACCAATACACGTGTGCATCTTTCATTCATCATATGCTCATGCAACTCATTATGTTAGGCATGCATCACAGCTACGTGTAGTGAACGAGTGTGTGGAAGGTTATCAAGTTCCAGAGGAAGAAAATCAGCTAGTGGTAGTGGAAGTTGGGTTTGATATCTTTGGTGCTTCAGAAGAGCTTGACTACCCTGCTATGTTTCCTCTAGTAGAAGTTGGGTTTGATATTCGTGGTACTTTAGAAGAGCCTGATAATGACTTAATTTTTAGTTAAAACTTTGAAAGTAAGGATCCACTTGTAGTAAGCTTTTATTGTAAAGTTACTCCTGATTCTTACTTGGACCACCTTGTATCCCCTTAAGCATGGATACCCTTGGAGTCTTCTCTTTTAGCCAGTTAAGTCTTGCGGAGTACAATTCAGTACTCAGGGTTTGTTAACCTCTGTTGTAGGTGAACCTCAGCAGCAGATAGGCTTTTGCCCCTGTTGTATGACGGTTCTGGAGGAAGAGCACTAGGAATAGATGATGTGTATGTGAATCATCCTTGGGAAGGATGACCCTTTTGCGTGTTGTATAATATGTTAGTATTGCTACCCTACTATGTCTAAGAACACAACCTATGGGCCTCGTTCGATTCACTGAAAAAACAAGCCGAAACACTCTTCCGGCTGATTTGTTGTGAGAGAAAAACACTGTTCCGACTGAAAAAACAAGCTGAAAAGTATGGATTATAAGAGAAGCGAACAGGGCCCTATGTGATACTTAAATAAATGGTTTATAAACTTATGGTTTGTAATACTTCTGCATTTTAATTAAAAAGGTTGCCTCTAACTTCCCTTCATGCTTGCTTTAGATGTCTTAGGGAACAGTGGTTTTCATGACGAGGGCCGAGGGTACTGAAGGTTTTCCAGCCATTCTTCGGGAACTCATGTGGCGTGCTAACTTCTCCATTGCACTGGAGTACACCGTCTACTCGACTCAAATAAGCCCTAGTCTTGTAGAATACTCTGCTAGTGTCTTTCTACACCCACATCTGATGGAAGGCCGAGCTGAAAGGTCTCATACCTTTATTGGTATTGGGAGTTCTCCTGAAGCTGCGGTCCAACATTGCGCCTATAATGCTGTTGAATGCCTTAGACGTAGATACTCGGAGCTCAACAATTCCTACACTTTTAGCTATTTTCCTTACCAAGTTCATGGGAGTGTTAATGAAGTCCTATACCCACATCCTATCTATGATGAGGTGATGGAGAGTTGGAGGATGTCGGAGCTCATTCAAGCTTACCGGTGTATGTCCTTCGAGTTAAACATAGCTCGAAGACAGTTGGAGCAATTGACAACAGAGTTGGAGGAGTTAGAGGCATCCAACCCGATTCCTGCCCGAGTGACCGGAGAGCCAGTATTCCTCAATGTAGCGGACATAGTAGATGAACCTTGCTTGTTTCCAGCCGATTGTGGGAGACCTTATTAGGCCACCCCATGATCGACATAACCATGCGTCCCAGCAACCAATGAGCTCCAGGAGTAGATGATGTGTATGTGACTCATCCTTGGGCAGGATGACCTTTTTGCATGTTGTATAATATGTTAGTATTGCTACCCTACTATGTCTAAGAAGGCAAAAAACATGGTTTATAATACTTGAATAAATGGCTTGTAAACTTATGGTTTGTACTAGGATGCCCGTGCGTTGCAACGGGAATAAAATAATACCATAATATGCGTCTGTAACAAGAAGAAAATAATACCAAAATTGCTTTCCTGTAAAATAATTTATCATGACAAACAATTGATGATCCAAAAGGTAGAATCACAACAATGAGTTGTCACAGTGCGGTGGCTCTTGTGCACAAGCTCTAGATCCCTCGTTACCCTCCCTCATACTTGAGCATTTACCATTAGTCCCTGTGTAAGGGTGATGCTTCTCACTCTCAAGGCCACCAGCCTTCTTGACATAACTGAAGGCCGAATAGAGGATAGTGAGGTTGGATTAAGGATAAGCACATCAAGCTAAATCAAGTTCCAATAACTTCAAGCTAATAGCTATGGAGTCAGGGAAACAATCATGAGAATTTTGGACATGCTACACAACTTTGAAACGCTTACAAATGAACATGAGAATTTTGGAAACAACATGTCATTCTACACATTAAAAGATTTGAGACATTTTTCTTTCTCCATTGCTAACAAAAAGAATGTGTTATCCAGACACAATAATAGATACTCCATCGTCACCCCAAAATATAAAGCACAGCATCACATGAGAAGAGACTTCGCCAAATGCTCTCTTGCTTGCGTTAGGGCATTGACTAAAGTCTGCTTGCAAATAACGATGGCTATTAAGTTAAAACAAACCAGTTTCTTCAGTTCAAAATTGAAATAGATGCAGCCTTCAGACTACCTGCTCAGCCGATGAAGCACCCTCCAATCCATGACCATCCACCTTTTCAACTCTCTCTCTTCCTTCTGTTTCAAGTACAGTCCTGTGTAATCATTAAAAACAAAAAAGGTATAATGCAGCAAAAAATCATATGCTGCTTACAATGTGCGATGTTATATATTTATCTTTAAGCTTGATAAAGAATGATCCTATCACTTTCACATTTCACATTGAGGCAAGCGCAAGGTTGTGGACATTATATACTGGTCAATAGTTTACTGAAGTCTGAAGAAATTCTACAGAAAAGTAGTGGACATATTGAATTGCAATGCATAAATCTATTTGATCATAACAATTCAATAATGTAGTACGTATGTACATGTACATAATTTATCCATTCAGCTCTGCAAGGCCAAATAATATCTGTAGTATTTCAGATTCCAAAGAACTGGCTGTTGCTCAATAGTATATCTATGGTCACAAATAAACCAGAAGAAGCTTATGTGCATAATCGATACACTGCATGCTCAATGCCAATTAATTACTTAATCAACTTTTGAAAAATCTGCAATTTATCAATTAACTACTTAACCAACTTTTGAACAACTACTTTATCAATTGGGGCTTAAGCGTTTCTACCCCTGTTTTGATGACTATTTGTGATTTTGCCCTCGTTTTTTTAACTTTATGATTTTGCCCCTGCTATTTTTAAACGAAGGAAGAGTTTACCCCTGGTCTGTTAAGTGCCTCTAACGGTGGTGACTTTTGGACAACAGGACAACTTTACCCATACGTTTTTATCCCTGTTTTATTATGTTATTTGTGTTTTTACCCCTAGTTTCAGACAACCACTTGACATTTTTTATACAGAATTTTTAGAAAATTTCGACAGCATTTTAGCTGATAATCCACATTAACACAATTTAATATCACACAACTAGTATATATAAACCAGATCCATGCAACATGTCACCATAGTACCATAGTAGAAGCCAATATACAGGTCTAAATGACATGTCAAACACTAACGTATAGGTCTAAATGACATGTCAAACAAAAGTAGGAGCTACTAGTGAGTTCTGTAGGCAACTAGTAGTGAACTATATATCAAGCATCGAAACCCAACAAAGTAGCAAGCCTCCCAGAAGTTGCTGCTCTTCCGCTCCTTCTCGTCCCCTTCCTGAAGCACTTGCACTTTATATGAAAAAGAGAAGAATTATGTCAGTAAAGTTACTAAAATATGTAGTAAAGAGAAGCAATGTTGGCTTGTCTTACTTTATCTCATTGTGGTCCTCTACTGACCCTCTTCCTCTTCCCCTTTCTCTTGCAGCTGCAGTACCACTTGCACTTGCACTTGCACTAGCACTAGCACTAGCATTAGCACTTGCACTTAATGTTTGTTAGAAAAAAAATGTTAGTACAAGTAAATATGAATAATTAGGATAAATAAATGGAATTGGGCAGCAATGCATGTATGACTCACATTGGGTCATTGCTTCCTTGTCCTGATCCATCTTTGTAACACCCTCGGTGTGACACCCTAAACAAACCACTAAACCATGTCATGAGCATCATGTTTATGTGATAAAGCATGTGATAAAGTGTGTAGATCAATTTCTTGTAACCTAAAATGACTAATAAAAATATTAAATAAAAGTTGATTCAATAGCTCATGTATATCAAGTAGGGTTGAAAACCAATTTTTATTAAGCAAAAGCATTATAGAACATGTGTGTGACACTTAAATAAAGTTTGGAGTATGGACTTTGTAGATGACAATGAAATCCCTGCTGTTGAAAAATAACTTTGCTAGCTAATGCTTCTAATGGCCTAGAAATGCAACTTGGAATCAAGTTCAACTCAAAGACAGAATATTTTCAAGTTTATAGACAGCAAGACAATGCCATGTTTGGCAATTTATTTTGTGAAATCGAGTTAAGGGATGGTGTCATGTTTTAGCTCGGGTTGGTAGCCTCACATGCCATCTTGAGCATGGTGAAGACGGTTTAGGTCCAGAAGCAACTGTTTAGTTGTTATAGACGCTTTAAAATTCGTGCAAGACGTGATTTCGGGCTAGTTCACCGGGTGAGCGCGGTCACCACGTCTCGGGGGCGCGACGTCGCCACGCTGGCTCGCTCTGTGCGCGCACACACGCTACCGCACGTGGTCGACTGTGACTATCCTGTCCTGGGTGCCACTTGGTCTGCCGCGTGGAGCCGCTGCTGCTACTCGCACGGCCGAGCAGCGTGGCCGCTTGCCTCATTGCACTGTCGCCCTGTCGCCCCGTCTCATGCCGTGACGCAGCTGCTACAGGTGTCGTCACCTCACCATCACGTCCGTGCCTCCCTCTACACCCCTACCCCACCGCTGGCCCGGTTTGGTGCTCACCGCTGCCGCGCGCACGTGGTGGAGCTCACCGTCGCCTTGCCATTTATGGCAGTGCGGCCACACGGGCCATGCCGGTCAATGGACGCACGTGCTTGTCAGATTACGTTCGCGTGTGTAGCGCCCTGATCGCATCGATCATATCCCACCAAGGCGAGGCCGTGCTGAGCCCACCTGCCGGACCCGTCTCCCGCTTTCTCTCTGCTGACCGCCGTCGAGCCGCACCACCAAATTACCCAGCGATCGATCACCTCCATTCAATACATCGCATCCACGGCTTCACCATCACGTCCTCTCATTGCCCGACCCCACCCAGCCATGAAGAAGGCACTGTCAAGCTCCAATTTGGAGCTTTTCCCCGCCGCCGTGCCATTAAGGCTGCGCTCGGCCATGGTCGAGGGCAGCCCTCCTACCGCCCATCCCAAACCAATTCACCTGCACCACTAGCTTCACCTTGACTCCCTCTTCACCCTGCGCGCCTTAGCTGAACCGCTACCGCCTCCCTGTCGTCGCTGACGCGACCGTGCCGCCGCACGGCTCGGGCGCACGTGGCCAGCCCTTCTCCATCACCCTCTTCTCCACCCACCACCTCGGCCAGGTCCACGGTAGTCTCCTGATGCTTACTCGCTAGCCAGTTAGGTCCTTAGGTGCTCTGGTTTGCCGGGGCAGTCGCGCCACTGTCGCGGATGGCCACGCGTCGCCGCAGCTAACTCCAACGCGTCCTGCCGCCACGCGTTGCTGCTCGGCATAGGCGGTGGGACCATAGTTGAATGTCGGCTGACCAACGAGCCAGTGCGGGTGCCTGACCCCATGCCACCGCTCGCCGCACCACCGGGCATGGGTTAGCCGGGGGTGCGCGCGGGGGAATTCCAAGGAAGCCGGGGGGTTAAGTGAGAAGGTCTGAGAGGAGAAAATAGTGTTAGTACTTAGTTGTAAATTGGGAGGAGTTTGAGGTCTCTTTTGCAAAATTGCAAGCGCGCACGGGATTTCCCGGCCCGGGCCGTCTCCGCGTGGGCCGGTGTCCCCGTGGGCCGCCACGTGAGCGCGCGCTGGGTCGCGCATAAAGATGGCAATGGGGAATTCCCCATCGGGTATAGCTCTCCCATCCCCGTCCCCATAGGGGGAAACTTTTCCCGTCCCTATCCCCGTCAAAGCTCATGGGGCATGTTCCCTCCCCATCTCGAACCTGAGCGGGGAAAGCATCCCCGACGGGGTCCCCGTCCCCGTCCCTACAAAAACAAGTGCTCGAATCAACGATCTAGAAGAAGAAATGTCAAGTACAAACCGCATCTTGCAATAACATGAAATAAGATTGCTTAGTTTACAAATCACAGCTCCCTTGCTTACCCAAATTGCGAATAAATCAGAGCTCCCTTGATTACCAAAATTGTAAATAAAGTGAAAAAAATCTAACAAGTACACTAGTGCTTGCGTGGATGCGGATCTATGCTTGTGTCAGGCAAGAACCACCTTCTGCCTTCTGTTGTCCCCAACCAGGATGAGAAACTAGAGTGGAGATGCAAGATTCATCTTCCATGCAGTCCAAAGTACGAGCAGCAGTGCGGCAGCTAATCTCCTATGTCGTCACTATAAGCACAGGGCATCCTACACGCCGAGGGCAGATGACTTAGGCTCATGGGACTTAGGCTCACTCTAGTGCTCGGCGATGGCGTGAATCACGTCGAGAACGCTGGCGGCGTCCACAC